AGCCCTGGCATTGCAGGCGAGGCTGGGACACCCAGGATTTGCAGCCACACACATAGCACCGTGCAAACAGACAGCTCGCTCTTCTGCCTGAAGACATGATTGAGTTAGGTTTTGCTGGACATTAGCACATTGGGTGTGTTTGCTGCTCTTTTTTGCTAAAAGATAGCCTTTGTGCTGTGTCAGGAAGGCTGGGAGGTGAAGGAGACGAGCAGAGACATGTGGCTGTAGCATTGCTGTGTGTGAACTGTCACTCTGCTGTGGAGCTGTGCTAGTGGTGAGCCCCAAGAAGCGGACATGTGAGAACAAGGCCCGTCTGAGGTGATGCATCGCTAACAGACGTGTCTGGCTCTTCAGACTTGCCTCAGAGGTGCTTCGGGTGAGGGCAGTGGTAGGGATGGGACAAGGCACTGTAGGTTGGATGTCATTGTCTTCCTGGGAGCAAAGGACACACATGTGCTGCATCGTAGTGTGGTGACCGTCACCTCCCTGTCTGGCAGCCCTCTGCACACTGGCTGTACATTTTGATCACTCTTTGCCCCTGCACAAGCGCAGGAGCCGGCCTTCCCTTCTTCTTTGGTGCTGAGGGGAGCGTGATGCCGCCATGGCTGCAGCCTGGCTGTGGGGAGGGCTGTCGGGGTGGGAGCAGCACAGCACAGCACAACAGGCTGTGCAGAGGGGGAACCCGACTGTCTCTACTCCAGTTCAGGCTTTTGCTGAATCCTAAATACTGCCACGCAGGCTCCGTGCTTTGCTGAGCTATGGCCTCACTATGGGAGACTCCTACCTGCAACAAGCAAGGGTATTGTCCTGTTTCCTCAACCAGCAGACTTGGGAAATGAGAACACCGCCGAAATTCTTGGATGTCATACGTCGCTGCTTACTCTTCCTGGTCTTGAATCAGCACTGTTATCTCTAGAATTTGTTTGCACCCTTGTGTCATGGTAATGGAGGAGTATGGGCAGTTATCCTTTGTGGGCATGCAATTAGGCTAGGTGTCAAGGCAAAAATGAAGCATGTGGCAAACTGTATCTGAGCACTAAATCTTCGGCCTCCTGTGAAGCACAGCTCAGCAGTGGCGTGCTGACAAACAGCTTCCCTTGCCACTGCCTGCCCAGAGGAAGGTACAGCAAACACTCTTTTTTCACTTATTAAATCACCATCATTAACCACGATGCTGCCTGTTGTACAAACAACTCAGAAGACAATTCACAGGTCACCTGAAGCAGAAACCTCTCTGTGAACCATCTTTTCTAGGTAATTGTGAGCTGGGCAGGCAGGGTAGTGACAGCTCTCGGTCACACAGCAGTGGCACAGCTGGTTCACATCTGGGTGCTCATGGCGGGAGGAGGGATGCTGGGCTCTGCTGGGGTGGGTGCACTGGGAGGGGGCTGGTGCTGGGCAGGAGGCACAGTTTCTCTCTGTAGCTCTGTGATCTAAACTGATGACAAACCCCTGAGTTGAACAATGGAAGGTTTTGATGTTTAGCTATAAAAATATGGCTTTCCAAGTAACTCGTAATACATGCGCTGCCGATCCTGGTGGCCTTAAGACAGCATTCACACACTGCTGCTACTGTGATCTGTTACCTTTATAAATCGGTGGGGGTTAGATTTTAACATCAGCAGCTGTAGGAAAAACTTGGTTAGTTTTGCTTGTTTGCTTGTTTGTTTGTTTTAATTTAGGTGGCAGGTCTGCAAAGGGAATGCTCTGTGACAGAGGTGGTAATTCCACTTGCCTCCCTGTATACAAATCCGCTCTCTTTGCTTCAAGTGATTAAAACCAAGCCCTGGTGGGGATGGCTGTGTGAGCTGGAGCAGCGAGGATGCGACAGTGGCTGCTTGTATTGCTTTCCGAGCAGGGTAGTGGTGATGGTGGAAGAGCAGAGATTACAGAGGCAGGGATAAATGAGTAATTTTTAACACCAATTCTAGAACCTTTTCGATAAAGATCTGATTTAAAGTAAATTCGCACTGTGGCTAAATTTATTATCCACGACACTGGACAGAACTGTGGTATCATGCTGCAAAATGTCTGACATGGTCAACATGACCCTGTTAGATCTCCTGAATCTATTAGTGGCTACCTATGCAACCAACTGCAGGGACTGCGACTCCCTTAGCAGAGTTTTGTGCTGAATATCTAAAAATCTGATTAGGAGTCTGAATATTCAGGCTTCACTTGTGAGACCTTCTTATCCCGTGCATAAATGAAGCTGATGGCTGGGATGTGTTGTGCTGCCCCGTTGTTGGCTGGCTTCTCAGGGAAAGTTTGGACTGATTTTTTTAAATAGTAAGGGTAATTGGTTACTGGGACAAATTACCCAGAGGTGGTAAGCTGTCACTTGAGGGCTTTAAAACAGAATTTCTGACTTTAAAGAGAGACAGACAGACAGACAGACTAGCTCAAATAGGACTTGTTTAGCTGTAGGGTGGAGCTGATGGGTAAAATTCAGAGAATCACAGCATGGTTGGGGTTGGAAGGGACCTCTGAAGATCATC